TTGTGCCAACTGGTGACGTACATCACCATCAGCATGTCCAATGGTGTATGTGATTCGAAGCATGTCCATGATCATATCTTGATCAATACTTGCCATGTTGTCTTCATCCTGAGAAACATACGCCTCACTATTGCACCAAGTTGCAATGGATCCAGTTTGGCGAGTGTGTGCTGCGTGAGGCGGGTTGTTTGTTCCTGCCACTTGCTGGTGCTGGAGCGCTGGTTGAACTTGCTGTTGCTGGTCGTGATGCTGTTGTTGTTGCAGCTGGTGTTGTGCGCTAGCGTAGTTGTCTTCTTCCTGAGTAGAATCTTCCTCTGCAGCTACGTCCACAGCGTTGTTGTGGCTTTTTGCCGCCGGCTTTTTGTCTTCAGAATCTGACATGATGATCATCGCAAAAATTTCGCGATAGCTTTCGCGACGGCCTGGCCGGTTATAAACGCAAACACCGCGAATGCAAGTCACAAACTTGGGGCCACTACCGCAACTGAAAAGCGAGGTTTCAGTTGGTCTTGGAGGGTACTTGGGGAGATCTCCAAATGTTCACTGCTGTCTTGAGGTTGCTTGGAGGCTAGTTTCGTTGGATTGGTATGGGTGCAGTGAGCGTCACAAGTGTGGCCAGGTACTAGTAGCTAAGAGCTGCACTAGGGCGAGCTTCAATTACCAGCTTTGCTGCTTGTTTTTAAAATTACCTCAACTCCCTGGGGTGGGATTGTGGGTAATTCTAAAACGTGATTACCCCTTCTTTCTGCCTGATTTGGGGAAACTGGGGAAAACCAAAACAGCAGGGACGATGGCAACTCTCTGTCACCTTTGCCGTTGTTTTTGCAACACAACAAACGTCCTGGTGCTACACAAACGTCCTGGTGCTACACAAACGTCCTGGTGCTACACAAACGTCCTGGTAAGACTACTAGACTACTGCTTCTTCACGAAGATCGATTTCACGAAGATCGATAAGATCGATTGATCCAAGAAAAGAACAAAAGTGAGGAATCGGGGCTGCTTCTTCACGAAGATCGATTGATCCAAGAAAAGAACAAAAGTGAGGAATCGGGGCTGCAGAGGTGCATGCGCCCTTTTCGCGCGAAGCTTCACTACGTGATTTGCCGATTTGGCCTTCCATTTGGCCCAAATTAACTTGAAAACGTTCAAAGTTTTTCTTTTTACTATTAAATATGGTGAAGAAACCAAGCAAGTGAGAGTGACAGTCGTCTTTATTACACCCCGTGGGGGCTTTGAATGTTTGAAACCGTGACCAGCACCAAGCCAAAGGAGCAAGCCACCTTCTCTACGGAACCCCCTCACCGGTGATACGGTACGGGAATCTTGATCCCACCTCAGAAGCAGCCAACCAGACATCGGCAGCGGAGGAACCGAAAGGAGGGCTAGTGGAGTAGGGAAGATATCTACCGCGCGGAAGCCGGTGGTTGCCGCGTTGCGGTGAAGGTCATTGCTGCATTCTTGCTGTCAGTGCAGGGCTTCGGCTCTCCAACTAGCTATCTCCTACCGGTATACCGGTACTGGTACCAGTACCGGTACCGGTAGAGCTAAGTTAGATAGATGGCCAGTCTCACAAATCTTGCAACGGCAAGCAACAAAGCCCGTGCTAAGTCTCATTTTTGAGCAATGGAGCCTTCCAAGTCCATTCGAAAACTCCTGTTCCGCAGCGAGCCACTGGTATCATGTGCATCCTCCTCGACACCACCAAACTTCCACAACAGCGATCCCTCCATGAGCTTCCACGACGCCTTGGAATTCTCTGCAAGGTCGGAGGAACGTGGTGTGAAGCTAGAACAACCCTCCCACGAGAGACGCAATCGATCTCTTCGTGTGGAGGATGTCTTTGAGGGAGTGGACGAATCTGTTTTGTGTTTCTGCCGCAGCAACTCCTTCTCCATTCTGGAGCCACCGGGAGGAACAGGCGGTGGTGTGTCCTTACACAACTTGGAGGACTTGGTGGCGCCTCCATTGCTTCGCGAAAGTGCAGGAGGTGCAGAGTCGTCCCCTGACGACGACAGTAGTCCCAAGAGCGTCCCTACTGCTAGGAAATCACTGTGGGACTCAATGGGAAAGAACACCATGCGCCTCAAAACCACGACGAGAGCTGCCTCGGAAAGAGACTCTTCCACGTCCAGCAGCGAAGGCGACGATAGCAGCAGCGATTCCACGTCTACTAGTAGTGGCGACAATGACAACGATAGCAGCACCAGCAGCAGTGAATCCACGTTGTCATGCGATGACGATGAGAGCATTGAACTCTTCGTCGAGAGTGCACCACGTCGCGGAGTTGCCCGTGCCAAGTCGGAACAAAAGCCTCGCACTCGACGACCTGGTCTTGCGAGAGGATCTTCCTTGGCGGTGCTTTCCATCATGAGGTGCAGCCTATCGAAAGGATCCAACCATGATGATGGTGCCAAGCACAAGAAGCCGTCTGTCCCCAAAACTCGCGGCGTCTCGCGTACCAAGTCGGCAGGAGCCCTTTGGAGATCCGTTGGCTCTCTTGGTTTCTTCCAGGGCAATGATGACGAGCAAGACGACGACAAGACAGAAACGGAAGGGACGACAATCACGGAGAAACCAGAGTTCCGATGGGACACAATGAGATTGCCCATACAATGCCACGATGACCAAGACCCAACCCACAATGAGAAGGATCAAGCTCCAATCGGAGTGCTAGTTGGCTAGCCAGGCCCGTACCGTTATGGTATGCTGTACTGTACGATTATATATTGTAGATTGTTCATATACCTTTTATAATTCATTCTATCGATAACTTGGCCAAGAGATAGCAGGCCAACATGGGTCTCACTATGCCTCCGTTTCATACTTTTTGGAGTACACATACGTCCACTGACCAAATGCACCAATCCAATAAAAGTCCAGTTGAGATGTGGGCACTCGCACACTCGTAAACCATGCTGCGCCCCAAAAACTCTGAAACGAAACCAAAAGAAGAGCACAATAATGTTGTTAGCAGTTCAGTTCTGTCTCGCAGTGGCAAAAAGCTTGCGTTGTTTCCCTAGCTAGTGCAGCTACTTACCATCATGGACACTTCATATCCCAACCCCGTGGCGAGTTCGGTGGTAACAGCAGCACTGACCCGGGCAAACGTTCGATCCAAAAAGTTTTTGGGTTTGTCGGGATGACTTTCGGGCAAATGATGTCCTCGTAAAATCCGTCGGAGTTCCTTCTTGGCATCAAAGGAGGATTCGTGCGGACATGTTTGCAAAGCATACAAATACACAGCCGGCACAATGAGAATGGCCAAAATGGAAAGTGCCTGTGTGATGAGTCGCAAAATGACGACTCCCACAATGGCCGTGAGAGCGTATTGTATCAATTTCTTGTTTTCTTCGTCTGATAGAGTATTGTTGTTGGTATTCGTGTTGGTTGTGGGAGCAGTTGTAGTGGTGGATGCCCTGGTAGTAGTAGACGACCGCGAAGAAGCTGGCTTTTTTCGATTGGGATCAAAGGATGATACGGAAATGATCTTGGCTTTGGATCCCGCCAACTTGCCATCTCGATCGACGAGCACTTGACCCTGTGCTTTTCCTGCTCCTTTGGACAGGATTCCAACGACACAACCCGACGCTGGATCGTGTGCAATATCCAAAAAGTAGCTGTCCGTCACGGCAATCTTTCTCCGCAGCAGTCTCATCACAGCACCGCCTTTTGTTTCCACGCTCCATGCTCCCAGTGGTTTCTTCTCATTGAGGTACGCAACCGCTTCTTGGGCGGATGCAGAGGTCGTCATGGTCGACAATTGAATCTAAAGCTGCAATTGAAACAAGAAGTGTGCTTTTCGGTGTGTTGTTGTTGTGTTGTCTCTGTGTTTGTGAGCGGCAAATCGTGGGCGAAAGAAGGGTCGCGGAGAACTTACTTCAAGATCCACTTTTGACCCGATGAATGGCAGCTTAGTAAGCTTAATGTTGAATAATCCCGGATTCCGGTTCTCATCATTCTCTGCTTGGATCCCCATGGGGGTGTCATCACAACCTCATCATTCATCTTCCAAACAACCTCCCCATATCTCATATACATTGCATTTACCATCATCTATCAAGGATGTGCAACTCCCTTGGAAACTTCTTCCGACTCATCATTATCGTGGCTACGGCTGGTGCTGTAAGACGACTCTTGAAACTTTGGTATGGTACTCACTTTTTTCTCAAGGCAACCTGTGGCAACTCACCGAATCATTTCCCTTTTTTGCTGTTTGAAATAATATGAAAGTTGACCTTGTCAGTTGCCACGGCACTCTCGTGTGAACTTGTGGAATACAATCAATCGGGTGGTGTCACTTACGGGATCTTCTTTCGTGGGTTTGAAGGTACCTGTCAAAGCGAATATTACACCACGGATGATGCCGTCATTACAGGAGCCCGAACGACCCTCATTGTGTCCATGTGTGCCGGATTCATTGCCGGCGTCATGGTGTTGTTTGAATGGCTCTTTTGTGAAATCTGTTGCGCCGGAGTATTGGAGGGACTGGCATTTCTGCTGGCGTGGATTGCTGGAGGAGCCTCCTTCATGTTTTATGGTTCGGAACAATGTACCACAGAAGGAGCCGAATGCACTTTCTATGATGCGTCGGGATTCATGACGGGCGCTTGTATTCTCTATTTTGCCTGCAATATATTCTTGTGTTTGTAAGTACAAGGCAAAAAACAAAAACTCACCAAGTGTCATGTCAATCTTGAGTATATATGTTGCATTTTGCTTTGTGGAGTCATTCCTCTCACCCACGAACTTCCTTCATTCCTCTTTCCACAGCACACCACAACCAGAGCCACTTCTTTGCAGCAAGTAACATAACAATCAACAGGAAAAGCAACTTGGAAATAGTTGTTGCACTTACCAACGATGAGGATCCCGAGTTACTCAGTCAGCGAACCGTTGGGGGGAGGACACTGTAACCATCACAACATTTGTAGTTGTAGTCAATGCAAAAATTAGGGTCCTGTGGACTTGGTTCCTTCGACCACACTTGCTCTTCTTTTTGGTTGTTGAGTGGGACCTGCTGTCATTGAAAGCTCCTGTTGCCGCCTCCACCACCATGGGAAAGTCTCACGGGCTTGGGCTGCCTGCAACGAGAACCTAGATTCCAAAGTCCCGCTCGATAGCTAGCTACAGTACCGTGGCGACTGGTAGCTTGTGCCGGTACAGAATCGGTATGTATTGGTAGCTGGGCCTAAACCGGTATTTTTAGCTACTAGAGGAAGTGGCTCAACCAATTCAACTGTGCAGTGCATATCCCACCAAAACTGTGTATCGATTAGTCTACTGAGTAGCATTTTTAATATCTTAAAAGTGAATTTGGCCCACTATTATAATGGACAATTATTTCGTCTCCTGGAGACGATTTGCTTTAGGGGTAATGGTACCGATGGGGGCAGAGGTTTGAATTATACCCGGCGCGCATTACTTAGAAGGCCCTGTAGAAGTCTACGTATTCGACTAGTATTGTATTGACCGGGATACAGTCAACGCATGTACAGCACATGAAAGTCGCCTTTGTTCTTCACATTTTAAAAGTTGGCTCTAATTTTTCGGGTCGCCTGTGATTTATTGGACGCTGATCTTTTTTCAATGACTAACATTGAATGACGTACGAGGTGCAATGCGAATTTCTAGAAAGGTAGTTGTAGTAATAAAAATTTTTATATACAGACTAATTACCCTATATCACAACCGTTTATACTTATAACAAAAACCCGTCTTCTCGCTGGAAAATTTCATCGTATTGATTACTCCTAGGACAGAAAGCCAACAGTATCCTTAAATCTTGCAACGCATGTCTCTCATTAGTTGTGGCTCTCTCTCTTTTCC